GGGGCCAAGGCAGGGGGGGCTCCACAAGCGGGGGAAGGGGTGAGGGCAGGCGATGTCGTCGGACCAGGCGAGGACGACGAAGCACTGGTGAACAGGGTGCGTCAGCGATATACACGGGATGGAATCGCGGCAGCGTCGAAGCTGTGGGTGGACGACCTATGCTTCTGGAACGAATCGGAAGGGAACAACATACTGAAGTTGATACAAGAAGCGCTGCGGTAGCGCGATGAGTGCAGCCTCCAGTCGTTCGTCGAAGCATCGTCTTGCCTCAAACCACCATCCCGCAACACAAAATCGACGACGAATCGGAGTTGAACGTTGCGACGGAAAGGGCGTTCAAGGTGCAGACCATCGCTTTGCGGGTGATCCATGGGTGGGTCTTCAAGTGAACGAGCAGGAAACGGGGGTACCACATTGCGTACAGGTGCACGTTGAACCACGAGACCATTGACATCGCTCGCGCGATCTGGATGGGGGAGGACTGGCGTATCCGTGTGAACCCCATGGTGTTCCACATTACGCTGGACATGGATATGAAGCTGCCACTATGGTTCGTCGACGTCGACATCAAAGACAGGCACGAGAATGGCGAGTTGGCGGCGTATCAGGAGGCGAGCATCCAGCGACCAGTGGGGGCTTTCACGAGCGCCGTGAGCATGGCGGAGGGGATCGACGACGGTCGGGTGTCGCACAAAAGGTTGAAGAGCATTGCCGACGCGATGAGGATCATGCTCGCGACGACCGTGTGGCTCATGCGGATGAGAGGGGACGATCATCGCACGCATTACGACGCGTGGGTGTTCGTCCAACTAACATCAAAGTCGACGCTCATCACATCCATGCATCACTCATTCGACGCGCGTCGCCATATCATGCAAGTTGCGATCGTCATCATGGACAAATTGGCCAAACCCCCAATGACTTTGGTAGCCCCCCCATTGTACATCCCTGACAGAGCGTCAATCGGCGTGAAGTTCTCACATGACGCCACGTTGTCTTCCCCCATGGAGGCAAAGAATATCGATTGGTTGGGCACAGGCTATGAATCCCCCTCGGCGGCGGACAGGCGCGGCTAAGTCCGCGGACGCGGTCGAGTCCGCGATCCCGCGGATGTGTCCGCGCGGACGCGAGTCCTCGCAGACGCGTGGCGGCCGCTGGGGAGGGGGGTTGAGGAATCGGGAAGCACCACGTGGCGGTGCAACCCCAGCCCCACCCCATCAGGCAAGAAAAAAAGAAAAAAATCGAATTTTTGGTTGGGGAGGATAAGGGCGAAATCGAAGAACATAGAAAAAAAAACACGTCTTTTTTTTTTTTTTTTTTTCCGTTGATTTGCCTGATTGATTGATTGCTTGATTGATTGCTTGATTGCTTGCTTGATTGATTGATTGATTGATTGATTGATTGATTGATTGATTGATTGATTGATTGATTGATTAGTTTCGTAGATTTTTTTTTTTTCATTGATTGATTGATTGATTGATTGACTGATCGGGAAGGGGTCGCCCCCCCCGCGATTGATTGATTGATTGATTGATTGATTGATTGCTTGATTGATTGATTGGTTGATTTATTCGATTTTCTTTTTTTTTTTTTGATTGGTTGATTGATTGATTCGTGGGGGAGGGGTCGCCCC